ATTAGTATTAGTTTATATTAAATTATATACTTATATATAAATTAATTTATATTAAAATATTTTTTAATAATAATATTATTTATTTATTGTCCGATTTGATTTTCACCTTGGCGATACGATTTGTTAAGGCCGAATTTAAGGATTTAGCTATTTGAGTTAAATCCCACTGGTAGCCAAACAGCCCCTAAGGAACCGCCATGTCTCTTTCCGGCGATCTGTACTCTTTCCGCCCGCCGGGTCGTTGATCTCCCTGCTCCTATTGATGATAATCGCGGAGCGAAAGAACAATATCTTCTCCCTTGCCTTCTCTTCTGCTTAGGGCTTTCCATGGCTGAGTCGATCTGCAGGTCCTTGAGGGATGGGTCTATTGAGGGAGAACATTCGCCCGCACTAACTATTAAGGATTCGCTGCAAAGCCATGCAGGAACCCATGCATTCAATTACTTTCTGTGCTCTCTCGCCGCCAATGTCTGCGCCGGAAAATCCCAAGCGCGGTCAGTTTTGAGCTGGAAAATTTATTAGAGGGACTCGGTAAGTTACTGAAATGTGATTCTTCCTCCTCTTTCAGGGGATTGGTACTTGTTGCTTTTAGCCAAAGCCCGTCGTTCTACTTAAGTTTGCTAAAACGCAAACGAATGGATGCATCGCTGTTGACAAAATGGTAAGTTCTTTTCTTGTACAGATTCTAGTGCTTTAGTCTCGCATGAAGAGTGTCTTTTCATCGTTTTACCCCTTTTCGATCTCCAGCTTGCGGATTCTCGACTGTTACTCTGATCCTCTTGGTTGGAAGGAAAAGATTCGCCAGTCTAGTGGCCCTGATAAGCCAGTTTTTACGGAGTCTGACTATGTATGCAGGGATGTGAAGGATATCACCAAATTGTTGTCTTCAATTCTGGAACTTGGAAAAGGTGTGCTGTTTGTGTTGAGTTTGAAGCAGAGATTCTTATGCGGATTTTCCTTATATATTATTGATGTGCTTCAGGATTTTCAGAAGGCAGGGCTTACTTTGCAGTTGCCATCGACTCTGTATGTATAATCTCCCTAGAAGTATTCCAATTTGTGAATTTTTGGAAGAAACATAGAATAAACCTTATTTTAACTTGCTAGAAATATCAGGATCGACACAGAATCTCACTTGTAATCTTCTAAGATTTCATATACTTTCTTGCTTTCCCATCTCCAACTGCCATGCTTGATTGCATTGTAGTATACTTGGTTAAATATCTACTGAATTAGAGATGAATCTATTTTTGATATGGTAGATTTCTGCTTTATGTCGGCTTAAATTCAGTTATGCTGATGGATGTGAGCACTTAGCAGCTGAAGTGGCTCTACGTCAATAGCATTACTGACAGAATCAAACCTTTCATTATTCATCCATCATTTAGACCTATCATTAGTAACTCTAGATCTGTACGTATCGTGAACTAGAAGGTTTGGTGCGTTTGTGTCAATTAACTGAATTAAGTCAACTTTTGGCGCAGTAAAGCCTGATAACTCGTTTTCTATTCTCATTAATATTATTTTTTGCTTAGTTATAAATTTACAAGAACTCAAAAGCTCTTTCCGAAGGAACACTACTAAGAACTCTCTATTAAGTCAACTTTTTTGCTTAGTTATAAACGAGCTCGAGTTTGAGCTTGAGCTTGATGAGACTCAACTCGTGAGCTCGCGAGCCGACTCGAATCATTATTAATATTAAAAAAATAATACTTAAACAGAGTAATATTTCAAAAAACTAGTAATTAAGCATAATAATATTACTTTTAATAAATGTTTTGTAATAAATGCTATAGCTTTTATAAAAATACATTAAAAATAATGTAAAAAATGGATTTAGAAAGGAGTTGAGCGATAGAAGCAGAGTTCGTGCAGGAGTTTTTTGAAAAAAAGTGGAGCTTTTTGAATATGCGGGAGTTTTTTTTGAAAAAATGAGAGTTTTGACGGTAACTTTTTGAAAAAATGTGCAACTTTTTGAAAAAATGTGCAGCTTTTTTAGGAAACTAAAAAGTTTCATACATGCTGCAGCTTTTTGGTAAAATGAACTAAATGGCAAGCTCGCGAGCCGGCTCGAACTCGTTTATGATGAGACGAGCTTGAGTTCGAGCTCGCTTTCCGACTAACGAGCTGAGCTCGATAGTGGCAAAATTCAACTTGACTCTACTCATTTACACCCCTAATGGAGTATACTTAGAGTTTGTATTAATAAGAGGGAAGGGCTTATATTCAGAGTTTTTACAATTGAGATGGATGTAATGGAGGATGGCTTATGGGTTTTTTTGCATCTATCATCATAATGAGCATGCCTCTTAGACTCGAAATGCTGGTGCCCAAAAGCAAAATCCTCCATGTTGAAGCTTAACATTCTTCTTATTCGGTGAAGGACTTTTTCTTCCAAAGCGTCATAGAAGATTTTGAAGTCTGAAAAATATTGTAGCCAAAGGACTTCAAATACTCTAACAATCACCTTGTTAGGGACCAAAGAAAGGTCTAGAAATATGACAAATAGTTTAAATAAACTTCTATTTTATCATGCACATAGAATAGTGACTTTAGTGGATAAAGTTCATCGATCATAGAGAGAATAAATTGGTTACAAAACCCTAGGCTCAGCAGTGGGATGCTTTTTGATCCCCTCAATTGGAAAGCTTTTGTTCAACTATGAGTCTCGTTTGAGCTTGAAGAGTATCAACCCACCAAGCTTCTTTTAGTAGATTGCGAGAGCCTTCTTGCAAGAGGTAGGCAATAGAATGAGAATAAGACGATGGTTGAGGATAGAGATGGAAGATTCAAGAAGATCAAAGTGAATTATTATCTTTGGACATTGGATTGGTATTTCTAAAATTCTTTTCCTTTAACATACCATTTTGTGCTATAACCAGCCAAGGTGTAGCCTCCTCCAATTCTTACACCATGGCTTGCTATTGCAATCTTATGTATTACTATAATGGGTGGATTCTCTCCGTACATGTGGCTTTTTAGTCTTGCATGTATAAGCTACTTATGATTGATGTGATCTTTTGCTTTCCCATCTCCAACTGCCATGCTTGATTGCATTGTAGTATACTTGGTTAAATATCTACTGAATTAGAGATGAATCTATTTTTGATATGGTAGATTTCTGCTTTATGTCGGCTTAAATTCAGTTATGCTGATGGATGTGAGCACTTAGCAGCTGAAGTGGCTCTACGTCAATAGCATTACTGACAGAATCAAACCTTTCATTATTCATCCATCATTTAGACCTATCATTAGTAACTCTAGATCTGTACGTATCGTGAACTAGAAGGTTTGGTGGTTTGTGTCAATTAAGTCAACTTTTGGCTTAGTAAAGCCTGATAACTCGTTTTCTATTCTCATTAATATTATTTTTTGCTTAGTATAAATTCACAAGAACTCAAAATCTCTTTCCTAAGGAACACTACTAAGTACTAAGAACTCTCTATTAAGTCAACTTTTTTGCTTAGTTATAAACAAGCTCGAGTTTGAGCTTGATGAGACTTAGCTCGTGAGCTCGCGAGCCAGCTCAAATCATTATTAATATTAAAAAATTAAAACCTAAACAGAGTAATATTTAAAAAAAATAGTAATTAAACATAATAATATTACTTTTAATAAGTGTTTTGTAATAAATGTTGCAGCTTTTATAAAAAAAACTTTAAAAAATAATTTAAAAAATGGATTTAGAAAGGAGTTGAGCAATAGAAGCAGAGTTAGAGTTCAGGCAAGAGTTTTTTGAAAAAAGTGCAGCTTTTTGAAAAAATGAGTTTTTGTACGGGAGTTTTTTGAAAAAAAATGAGAGTTTTGGCGGTAGCTTTTTGAAAAAAATGTGCAACTTTTTTTAGAAATTGAAAATTTTCATACATGCTGCAGCTTTTTGGGAAAATGAACTAAGAGTGGCAAAGCTCGTGAGCTGGCTCGAGCTTGTTTATGATGGGACGAGCTTGAGTTCGAGCTTGCTTTCCGACTAACGGGTTGAGCTCGATAGTGGCAAAATTTGACTTGACTCGACTCGTTTACTCCCCCAATGGAGTATACTTAGAGTTTGTATTAATAAGAGGGAAGTTCTTATATTCAGAGTTTTTACAACTGAGATGGATGTAGTGGAGGATGGCTTATGGGGGCTTTTTTGCATCTGTCATCATAATGAGCATGCCTCTTAGACTCGAAATGCAGGTGCCCAAAAGCAAAATCCTCCATGTTGAAGCTTAACATTCTTCTTATTCGGTGAAGGACTTTTTCTTCCAAAGTGTCATAGAAGATTTTGAAGCCTGAAAAATCTTGTAGCCAAAAGACTTCAAATACTCTAACAATCACCTTGTTAGGGACCAAAGAAAGGTCTAGAAATATGACAAATTGTTTAAATAAACTTCTATTTTATCATACACATTGAATAGTGACTTTAGTGGATAAAGTTCATCGTTCATAGAGAGAATAAATTGGTTAACCCTAGGCTCAGCAGTGGAATGCTTTTTGATCCTCTCAATTGGAAAGCTTTTGTTCAACTATGAGTCTCGTTTGAGCTTGAAGAGTACCAACCCACCAAGCTTCTTTTAGTAGAGTACGAGAGCCTTTTTGCAAGAGGAAGGCAATAGAATGAGAATAAGGCAATAGAATGAGGATAAGACGATGGTTGAGGACAGAGATGGGAGATTCAAGAAGATCAAAGTGAATTATTGTCATTGGACATTGGATTGGTATTTCCAAAATTCTTCTCCCTTAACGTACCATTTTGTGCTATAACCAGCCAAGGTATAGCCTCCTCCAATTCTTACACCTTGCTATTGCAATCTTGTGTATTACTATAATGGGTAGATTCTCTCCGTACATGTGGCTTTTTAGTCTTGCATGTATAAGCTACTTATGGTTGATGTCATCAAAGCCTGATACCTTATGCCTTTTTGATTTTACTGCTCACTTGCTGATTAGATTGAAGAAAGGCTAGTCATGAATTATGACGAACTAGGTATTACTAGTTAATGTTTTTAATATCCCAAATCTGAAAAGGGTGGTCTGAAGAGAGCGGGGAGTGATCGTTGGAGCTTGGGGCTTGGAGAAAGAGCTGCTTTTGGTAGGCTTATAAGATGATGTGCTTCTAGGAGAAAGTAAGTATATAAATGAACTTGATTATGCATTAGAAAAGGGTGAAATTTTACTAGATATAAGGGTTAGAGCTTGGGAAAGTTAAATTTTTTGTGTAATAGATGGAGTTTTATTAGGAACTCCATAGTTAAATGTGATATGGGCACTCTAGGGATTGGTGATTTCTTGAAAAGTTGCACAAGGAAGTTGAAACTATGAGGTCCAGCTTAGGACGGGATGGGCTGGGTTAAAACAGATAATATCTTGAAACACAATTGGTATTTCTATTATATATATATAGATGCACAGTTGCACACACTGTGCATGTGCTCCAGTGAGATGTGAACCCTTTGTGAAACATGACTATGTGTGGCATTTATTAGACTCTTTTTATGGTTCTTTACTTCTTTTTCCATCCTTGATGTGATTTTATCCTTCAAAATCAGCTGAAATTTCCATTATTATTAGTTTATTACTTTCCCCTATATTATCTTATTACCCTGACTGTTTTACATTTCTCCCAATTTATGTCACCCATTTACTTTTACTTCATTTTTTAGGTTAGTTCGATGCTAAAGCATGCTTCATTGCCATCGATTGCAGGTTTTATTAGCAACCTTAGAAGCCATGGTATGTGTGTTTCTAGATTTATTTGACATTTTCATTATTTTTCAAGTCCAACATATAAAAAAATACTTATCATTCCATGAGCTGCTGTGACTGCATGCTCCTTCATGCCCGAGTGATTCAGAAACTGACATCTAAATTTATTTACAGAAATGACGACTTTCTAAAGTTTTCGTTAAATGATGGTCATTTTTTATTAAATGCTCATTAACCAATAGTTTTTGAAATATGTAATGTCATTTTCCATCACTCTTTTTTGTTTTCATAGCTGTTGCTGGAGCAATCTGAAATTTATTGCTGATATGAAATTTTTTCCTTGTATTCTAGTTTCTTAACCTCCAACCGATGGGAGCAGTAGGAGGTTGAGGATTTTTGTATTTTTTGTCTATATTTTGTTAATCTTAGGTTTTCACTTGGTGATGGTGATGTATCCAGGGTGATAGGCTCTACGTATGGGATACTCTCCTTTTGGCTTCATAATTATTTTTGGGGTACTGAGTTCTTTCAGCACTTTGATCATTTGGATCTACAGAAATTCAGAAAATTTAGCTGCATTTTCCTGAGCAGTCTATTTTGATTGGATGGTCTTATGTGATCAACAGGACAATTTGTATTTTATTAAGGGTTCATTTGATTGCTTGAAGTTAAAAATCATGTTTTAAAAAAGGTGAAGGTATTTAAATCCATGATTTAGTTGGATTTAGACATCAACATTAATTTCAAACTGCATATGCCTTCATAAAACTCTCTCAAATGTCATTATTTTTTTTTCACACTCAAATGAGTTAAATAGAAATCATCTGTTTCTAAAGTATCTTTTATATTTGATAGAATTATGCGAGTGCCATCGAAATCATATGTAATGACCAATATAATGCCACAAAAAAAAAATTATTGAACATGTGTATTTGCATGTTCCATGTTCAAACTGATTGCAATTTGATAAAAGTGAAAAACAAGAGTTGGGTTTTTGTTGTGAATTTTGATATTTGGTTGAGAATTTGATGAATGGAGGTAGCAGGGTTGTGATTTATAAATATATAATATTTGAGTCTTACCAAGGAAATTGCCATATATCATATTCATCACTAAAGATGATCTTTTTGGCCATCACAAATTTGTGCCGTTAAGGTTAAGATAAAATATAAAATGTTGATTTTGATTTTCTGATTGCAGCTCAAGTTTCAAGCATGCTATGGCTATTGCATGCTGACCTTCATGAACCCAGGTCTACTGCAGTTCTTGAATATATGTCTTCTATAGTAGCTAGTGTTGAGCCAATGGTTGAAATAACTGATGGACAGAAAGGCTCTGACAACCTGTTTTGGCTTGGAAGAGGTTTGCAGAAAGGAAGGTTCCATGTTCGTTTCAAGCGTCGTAATGGCAGAGTAAAACTTTTTGTAAGCTATCTAACCTGCTCCTCATAGTTCCTTCAACTTAAAAGTTCACATCGAAGCTAAACCACCTTGTAAATAATTGTCAATTTGACTCTAGAATGAAGAATTTCATATTGAACACACTGGAATTACATTTTCAACTCCGTCATCTGAAAACATAGTAGTTAGCCAAACATTGCTGCCAAAGGTAAGTTCCTTGCTTTATCGCTTTGTACAGTAGATGAATTGCTCTAATCCCAGCACCTTTTCCATCAAACTTTTAATGCATCCCTTGTTTCCAGCAGTTGCAATTTAATCTCCAGCTTTCAGAAAAGGAAAGAGCTGATAGGTCAAGGGTTTTACTTCCATTTGAACACCAAGGTAGGACACTACATTAATGGTTTAAAACTGAGCATTGCTATGGTCGGTCCAGGGATCTGATTGTTCTTGCAGGTAAAGCAGTTGGGAAATTTTGGACCACTTGCTTTTATTTTTGTGGATCCAGTCTCATCGGAGGGATATTTGGCAATAAGCCAATTGGCATAATGTCAATCCAACTGGTTGGAACTCCCTCCTAATTGAGTTAGACTATAGCAAGTTGAACCAAGTGCGTACTTAGTCTTTTAGTATCACGAGGAAGACTTGAAAAATTAGCATCAATGAATCGTTGGAAGCCGGTTGTTTTCAGTGGCCTGTAGCATGTGAGAATGCTTGGGCCATTATACGACATAGTTAGTTAATCACTCCTGTAATAGTGTTTTGAAATTAAGCAAATATATAAACCGAAATCTAATGCAAACCAGTCAAGCAGTCATCTAACCAAAATCATTACAAACCAAGTAAGCTGTATGATGCAGGAAGTATATTATTTAAATGAAATAAGAATTTGCACGCTTTTAAGTAAGAGCAATAAAAAAATTAAAACGGTAGCTACTTAACAACAACAACAACAACAACATCAAGCCTTTATCCCACTACGTGGGGTCGGCTACATGAATCCTTTTTCTCCATTGTGTCCTATTAAAAGTCAAATTCTCGTTTAAATCTAATAAAGAAAGGTCATTCCTAATATTTTCTAACCAAGTCTTTTTAGGTCTACCCCTACCTTTCTTAACATGCTATGGTCGGTCCAGGGATCTGATTGTTCATGCAGGTAAAGCAGTTGAAGAAATTTTGGACCACTCGCTTTTATTTTGTGGATCCAGACTCATCGGAGGGATATTTGGCAATAAGTCAATTGGCATACTTTCAATCCAACTGGTTGGAACTCCCTCCTAATTGAGTTTGACTATAGCAAGTTGAACCAAGTGCGTACTTAGTCTTTTAGTATCATGAGGAAGACTTGAAGAATTAGCATCAATGGATCGTTGGAAGCCGGTTGTCTTCAGTGGCCTGTAGCATGTGAGAATGGTTGGGCCATTATACGGCATAGTTAGTTAATCGCTCCAGTAATAGTGTTTTGAAATTAAGCAAATATATAAACCGAAATCTAATGCAAACCAGTCAAGCAGTCATTTAACCGAAATCATTACAAACCAAGTAAGCTGTACTAGCATTCTGTTACAATCAAAATAAGGATCTAAAAATTGCCAAAATAAGGACCTAAAGTTTCCCAATTAAACACAGCAAATTAAATATTTTGCTTCAGTAGTTAGCAAATTGTGCACCTAGATTTTTCCCTGTCTAGTATTTCTTGCCAAAAAAATAAACGAACAAAACTAACATATTTAGCAAAATGTATGGCCTTGACAGAAGAATTTCAAGAGGGGGAATTACCAATGGTGTTTAAGCATTTTTTTAGCTGATCTAATCCAGTTTGCTGTACATACTACAGACTAATGCATTATTAGTTTTAGTTAATAAGTAACTTTTGTGATCATCCTACACTCTTCCACTAAAACTAAAAGTAGACTCGGAAGCAAATGTTGTTTTGAGGGATTGATAGTATATCCCGAGCCATTCTAGACGATTAAGAATACTTAAGGTTTTAATTTTTCATCAGTCAAGCAAATCAAATGAATCAGCAAAGCACACAAGCAATCCCTCTTCAAGATATACCTGCAAGTCAAATTTGATTTATTAGATAGTACCAGATGAAAATACAAAATCCTTAAACCTAATCATACAACCAAATTGAGATGAAAAAAATAATGGGATCTAATGTTGGTAAGGATCTTTCATGGTGCTTATTAGCTGTGCCACTTGGCAAAGCAAAGTCAGAAACATATAATGCAAATATTACCCAAAGCACCTCTTCAACGGCTAGAATATTAGAATCTTGCTTAAAGGTGTGCAGATCTTTGAAAATGTAATAGTTATGAATTTTAACTTTAAATGAGGATCCCAAACTGCACCTACAACCATTAACAAATTACATTCACCTAAATATTTAAAATTTCACTTTTATAGTTACAACCATGTTTCTCCTTTATTCATCTGTTGACATAGACAGTTTTATTAAAAGCTTTTTAGCATGCATAATAATGGGTTGAAATATTTTTGCGTGTGGGATATACTCCAGAAGTCATTTTGGAGTCATTATTAAAACCTGCCAGAAACTTTCTAGTTCTTCCATACTTCAACCAATTAGGCCTACGGGATAGCCACTGATAATTATTATCTCTAGCTGCATGGTGATTGAAAATATTATTGTAGATAAAAGTATACTCAAGTCTGAAGAAAGTTGAATTACACCGTGTAGGCACATTAATGGATTGAGACCGTGATGTGGGAACTCCTAACTATTTAGAAATTTCGATAAATTTGTGTAATCTAGTTGGAACCTTTTTAAGTGCTTAATTTATTCTCTAATAGTATGAATTACTTCTTGAACTTCCTTTAACCCATCATGAAGCATTTAGGATATGTGCATGACACTTTGATTGAAAATTGGCTTTTAGTGAACTAGTTGTCACATCATTGTTACTTGCATTTTTCAGAGTAATTGGGGACACTTTGTCTTGGAGATTTCATACTAATAGAGAATCACAAATGGCATCACAAATGAAAGTGCCACTTTGGAGGGGAATCTAGCTCAATAATTCTTATGATTCTCTTTTGAAGCTTATAGGATTCAACAATAAAATGCACAGTTAGAGACATGTACTCTACAATTTGATTATTGTTCCAACAATTTGAAGTTAGTGATACCTTATGACCATATTTACGATAAGATTTAAGCTTTAACTTCTGCAACTTAACAAAATTTCATATAATCTTTTTTTAATTGTTATGTTGGACCCATTCTCATAATTAGGATGCACCTTTCAACTATATATTGAACAGAGTTTGCTCAACTTTTCTAAAAGGATACTCATGAATAATTATCATCTTGTCAATTGTATATCTAATTTATCACTAATCATAATTTTTAGGATCATAAAATATAGAGACGCTTAACATTGCATCAGCATCAAAAGAAAATAAATTCAATCACTTATGTCTTTTATCTTATAGATCAACTGGTTGTTAACTTTTGATTTTTTCTTATATTCTTTGACATGTTCAGGGAGTTGTGATATTGTGCCTGTTTTGAATTTATGAAATTTTACCCCACAATAGATATATTGTTAAAAAGGAATTTCAACTCACTTGAAATTGAATTTGATTTCTACGAATTACTCATACATTGAAGATTTTCTCTTCTTACCTTTACTTGTTTGTACTTTAGTGGCTTTGTTATTCCTTCCAATAGTTTGTTGATCAATTGTTTGAGAAGAATTATTAGGACTGCAATCCCTATTTTTCGCAGCCACTTGTCATTGCTACCTAGTTGATGCAAATTGGGATTACTCCAATATTGACATGAGAATATATTAGAAACAAAAGAAAATCACATGAGATTTAATAAAGTACTAAAATAGCCAGCCCCGTTGTCGAATAAAGTAAGATGGGGAAGTAAAATAAGAATAACAACATTTTAGACATCCAATAATAACATGCAAGCATACAACACTGTCCAATTTAATGTTCACTATAATAATAAAAACTAAACATCGTCATATATATGCCATAACTCAAAAGAGCAAGAAAATAGTTGATATGACATTTCACCCAAACAATTATCTAGGGCTGTTGGAATATGTTAAATACTTTTACCACAGGAACAAATAGCAAGGGCTTCTCGATTATGCTAAATACTTTCAACAATTAGGTGAACCGTAAACATCTAGGTATCCATCTGCTTAATACTTTCACCATAAGAGCAAACCCAAAAAAAATTATCTTACTCCCGGTTAGGGTTTCTTGGGTAAGCACAGAAAATATATATTTTGAAAATCAACCTTTAAAAATATGTTGATAAGGTACTTGTTGGCTAGGTCTTCTTGGTTAGTTCCCTTTCATTGTAGGTGGCTATATATATGCCCCTTGTGTTTCTTTTGAAGTTAATGAATGAATTATAATCAAATTTCTGCACATTGAGTTCTTGTGAGAGCTTGAGAGTCTTTGGAGAGAAATCCTTTGGAGAGGGAAGCAGATCACCCACCAACCTTCGAGGAGTTAGGGTTCGTGGCTAGTTTCTTTTATTTCTTCATTTTCTTTCTCCCTCCCTTCCCTTCTATCCCACGGCCCATCCAAAACCCCACCGCCGGCCAAGATCCCTCCCCCACTCCACCTAGCCGCCGGCCAAGACCCTTCCCCCACTCCACCTAGTCACCGGCCATCCAAGGAGGATCATCCCTTGATTGGTTGGTCCACTTAATACCCCCCACCTCCACATCACCCTAGCCCTAGTTCAAGCCGCCGGCCCCTCCCCTTTCCAATTCCCCTCTTCCATTACATACACAATTCCAACATCTCATTATTACTTTCATTTCTCTACCCAATCACATTTGGAAAGCTTTGATTTCAATTATTCAATCAAATTTGAATTTTGAAATACTTCCAAAAATAGATAATCTATTTTAGGAAAGTTCCTTAAATCAAGTCCCAATCAATTTCAACTTGGATTTGATTTAAATCCTCCTCAATTAAAGGTCCTTGATTAGGCAAGCATTAAATCACTTTCCTAAACCCCTCTACCTCCAAATATGTCGCCGGCCTACTTTCCCTCTCACCTTCAATTGGATTGGTTCAAATTCAAATTGATTCTCCTTAATTAAACCGCCAATCCAGCTTTCCCAGCAGCTGCCGCCCCTCTCTCCCTCCCATGCCTAAATAAAATAGTCCATCAAGCTTCCAACTCAGCCCCACCCTCACCCCCATCAACCCTAGCCGACACCCCAAATTTCCCTCCACAATTCTCTCTCTTTTCCTAAAGCTCCTGCTTGCGAACCAGGAAATTTCAGCAAAGAAAAGTGGCTGTCCTGCTGTCTGAACATCCACACTACTGTCCAAAATCGTTATTTGAAGACCTATCCTTGCTGTTTCGGAAATTCCAGCCAAGACCCTTGCTGGCCAGAAAACTCCAGCCAAGATCCTTGCTGTCCAGATTTTTTCCAAGTGCTAAAACTGCTTTCCGGACACCCCTAGTTGCTGTCCCAGGCTTCCTGCTTGCTGTCCAAAGACTCCAGCAGGAATTTGTTGCTGTCCAGCCACCCAAGAAGCCACCGGTGCTATCCAAAACTTTCAGGAATTGCTGTCCCAGATTTCTTGCTTGCTGTCCAAGGGTTCAAGTCGGAATTTGTTGCTGTCCAGCTGTCCAAGAAGACACCACTTGCTGTCTTCTTCCTCTCAAGCCCTCAAACCACCACCGGAGCTTCGCATAACTTCTTTCTTTGGATAAACTCTTCCTCCAAGTCCCTTCTCTTTCTAATTTACTTCTCAATTGTGGTTATATTTTGAGTCTCGAAGATCATGTTAATTTTTCTCCGCTAAAGCTTAGTGTTCTAAAAAGTTGAGTGAGTGATTCTTGCATAGTGACTAGTCTTATCGTTAGCATAGGGATTTTCGTTGAAAAACCTTCCATGATGCAACATTAGAGTAATTGATTATTTTAGGATCTTAACCTTTACGCATGTGATTTAGCCTAAACTTATTTTATCACCTTATTGTTTTTCTTATTGTTTAAAATTAATATAAGTTTATTTGTTATTGTTCTCTAAAATTTAAGCGTGCAGAATCCTACATCAAATGTCATCTAAGCATTGTAGTCCTGCATAAAACTACCTACATAAACTTCTCTTTTAGTCTCTGCTTCTGCAGCCTGACCCCCTTGCTTATTTGTTGTTTTCCTCATATCCCTTTGGCAAAACAAAGAGTAACATAGTTTTTGGGCTCTCAATATTCTCTCCTGGATAGCTGTAGCAATTGATAGGAAGTGCAGGTAGAATGAATAGGTTGCAGAAGCTTGTTGGCTTAGGGATGTAACTGAATTAAGTTAATTCATGAGTTTGCTCGGGGTAAGCTCAGTAAATGACTTGAGAGGTGAGCTCAATGAAGAGCCAAGCTTGAGCAAGCCTAACCTGAATAGTGAATAGTCAACTCTTTAGCTAACTTATTAAAAAGTATTAATATTAATTACACTTAAAATATATTATGATTCAAGATTTTAAATATAAAGTTATTAATATATATTTTTTAAATCTCTATTCTTTAGCTCAATAATTTTTTTGTCATTGCTCCCCTAATTTTTGACCTTTTTATCATTTTATTATGAAAGTTGATTAAATTATAATTGGCTTCTCTTTCATAATAAATGAGTCATTTGTAAAGGAACTCCAATTTATAGATTTGGAGTTTGGAGTTCGAGCTCGAATTTAATTAACTAGTCAGGCTCATGCTTGAACTAGAGATGGCTTGAGCGTAAGTACTTAACTTGACTCATGTAAATGCCTATTGTCGGTAGTTACAAAGAGAGATTTACCTTTTTATCATTTTATTATGAAAGTTGATTAAATTACAATTAGCTTGTATTTCATAATAAATGGTCATTTGTAAATGAACTCCAATTTATAGATTTGGAGTTCGAGCTTGAATTTGATTAACTAGTCAGGCTCATGCTTGAACTAGAGATGGCTTGAGCTTAAGTGCTTAACTTGGCTCATGTAAACCCTAATTTCGATTGTTATAAAGAGAGAGGATAACTTGACTCATGTAAATGCCTATTGTCGGTAGTTACAAAGAGAGAGAAGAGGAGAAACGGTTAATCCCTGTTAGCCTAGAAAAAAAAAAGTAGAAAGATGAAGCCGACCGGTGTAGGAGAGGAAATTATACTTTCATTCAATCCCAACCTGACTTTCATATTTCAATCTAAACCCTATTTATAGAAAACTAATAAACATTTAGAGAATCCATTGAAATTCAAATCATGCTGTAAAATAGGAGATATCCCTCAAAAGTAGACAGACAACCTTTAAATTATAGAAATATGCTGGAAAATAGAGAAGGTGCTTGAAACAAGTAATATAATTTATAAACCCTTTGGATTTCTTTCCTTCAGGTGGTCACCGGTGTTAGAATATGATTTGTTATGGATTTCTATTTGCATTTCTTCATTTTAATAATTTTAATTGCTGGATCCCTTGGCTTGATTGATCCCCTTCATTGGATTGAATTAGAGTTGAATCTTATTTGAATTCATCAAGAACTTGTTGGAAACTTAAAAAAAAAAATTCAGGAATTTACTAGGAGCATCTGCATCAATTTAGAAAATTCCTGGGAGTCATGAATTTTTCTAAAATAGCCAACAAATTGTGGTAAACATGTTATTGCTGTGCAAAAAAATGAAAGCTATAAGAGAGAGATTGCAAAGAGGGGGCGAGAGGAAGGTTGAATAGATTTGGGATTTGAGGTACAATACCTTCAGATTTCAAGTATAAAGCAAGAGTATCTCTCTAGATAAAAAAATAGTGTTTGTATTCTACTCGACACAGAATTCAACTTGAGCCTCACTTAGAATTTGTGTTTTGGTTAATCCATGTAAGATTTAGGTAAGCTTAAGTGACTTGAAAAAAACTGGGTTGGGCTTCTGCTAGTCAGGTTTGTGTTAATTCGAATATAATGAATTAACTATTTGATTCTTTTTCCTTGAAAAATTCATTAAATCATTATTTTGTTGAGTTATTATGTACATTTTTTGTTGGGTTGACATTGACCCGTCACAAATTAATTTTTATTATTTTGTTAAATCGTGTTCAGGTATGATTTAGTTGGGGTTTGATTAAAATTTTGATCCGTTGATAAATTGGTCAAGTTTAAATTTACTATATCATGTTAAGTTATTTTAACCCTCTAACCTAAATTGGCTCCCTTAGTAAAAATATAATACTATATACCAACTCAACTACTATATGCTATATTAGCACATCCTTGTAGTGTTGAACCAATACTTCCAGCATGTTTGATTGGAACATGAAAGAGAAAATTTGAGAAGTTTCAGCTTTTGACAATAATGCTCGTTTAGGAGAGACCAAACAAGAGCAGTAGACTTCAGTTTGAAGCTTGTAGTCATTGGAGAGGAGGAAAGTTTAGGTAGGTGGGTAGTAGTTGGTTCAATGAGATAGAAGATAGTGGTTGGAGAGCCTTGAGAATCGTAGAGAGGGAGGACATAAGCCACTCTAGGCTATAGAGAAATTCAATGCGATGGAGGAGAGCATGGGGTAGTTGAAATCATCTATATGTTAATAGAAAGTATTTGAAATTGTATATTCACATATGACTTCACAGGTGCCTATCAAATAGTTGATGGGTCATGATGAAGGAACTCGCATCTAGCAGGACCCACATGTGAACTTGCCCAATAATCAATAGACGTTATTCGCTTGGGTGTATAGAAGAAATTTGTCCCTCATAGGGGGTGATGAAGTAATTTGTCACTCGCCACATAAGAGGACAATTCAGGACAGGTACCCTCATTCATCTTGTCAATCTCAACTACATGAATGCCCCTACACAAGAGGAGGCTCTAAGTTTGTCTTGCCGTGACTATCCAACCAAAGAACTCTTCCTCATTGCAACGACTCACTCACCTCTCTCTCGTAAGGCAATATGGGGTTTCAGCATAGGTCGTCAACAACCTCAACACACCTACCAATCATAGGCCCCCTTAGCTCTGTACTTGCCAAGATTACCCCACGCACACTTGTCTGAACTTACTTGAAATTGCTGAACTCAAGCAGAGACATACCATCTAATTTATATAGCATCATTCTCTTCTCAGCCAATTAAGAGGCAACACGTGTCTAAGATAGTATTTTTTGAGAGTCATTGGATTAATATATTTTTTATTCTTTTAAGATGTAGCATTTCCTATATCCTTTAAATCCCTATAAATAAATGATGAAAATAAACATTTTTATCTTTGTAACTGCTTGAGATTTTGAGTCTCTAAAGTATTGATATTGTAGACTTTTTCTAGTAAACTGTTTTCTCTCCATTATCACACATGTTCCAACTCACCCTTTTAAGAGTTCGCGTGCTAATAAAGTCATTTCATTCACAGACAAATTTGAATCCAACAGAAACTGTGGGTTTAATTGTTATTTTGGATGGTTGATAGAATATTAGAATTAGGTCAGATTCTAAAGCTTATTAGGTCATCCAGTTTTGTACGGTCTAGAGCTGCTCAAATGGGTCAGCAATCACCATGTTAGCTAATCCGATTGCCCAACTTGGTTTGATTCAAAAATTATGCATGAAATACCTATTTCTGTAATAACAGTTATAATTTTTTTTTTTAATAACAATACCAGTTATACAAAAAATTATTATTTTTTTTCAGAATAATTCTGCAATTACTTCTACAGTACTGTTGCAATCGCTTCAATCGAATCCTTTTTGCATATGATTTATTCTACAGATAAAACTCCAACTGAATCACTATTTCTGTACTTTACCTTTATTTCTTGTGAACTATTTTCCTTACGATTCATCCAACTGTTCCAGGCAACGGTGAGCCCATTCAAATATATGATGGGCGGCGATCCCTTACTGAGAGCAATACGGGTCTGAATGGCTTGCAGCAGCATGCTTTGTCCATAGAAATGGAAGCCCAGAGAATGCAAAGCAAGGGTGAGATACATTACATTCGTGATTCAGATGATGAACAACCTGATTCGGATGAAGATCCTGATGATGATTTGGACATATAGGTTTCATTTGGGACGGCTTTTTCGCTGCTTCTTAAAGCAGTTTTTTAGTACAAAATTTTATTTTTTGTACTATAAATCTGCTTTAAGAAGTAGTAAGAAAGCTATTTGGCCATAGTTTTGATTCTGCCCTAAGAGTGTTAAACAACGCTGTGTAAGGGATTATTCATGATGCATGATTAGTGCTCTGGTAGTATTTCTTTTTAGGAGGATTTGTATTTGCCACTGAATTTTTTGTGTTTTTACATATTTAATATCTAATAAATTATATTCATTTATGTAAAGTTTTGATTTTTTAAATGAATGAAAAATATCATTGATATTAGTGTTATATTAATAAATAGAAAAAAGTTGTAGATGTGAGTAATTATTTGTTGATTCATTGTGGCTAAAGTTATTTTCTTATGTGAAAAACTTTTTGTGAGGATGTCCATGAGCTTTGCTAAAGAGTGAAATTCATCAAGCCGAGTATGAATAGGGCTCATGCTTGGATTGCCTCTTTGCGGTATTTAGTAGGGGAGAAGGAAAGTGGGAGCCTTTGACTCAGTTTAGTTTGATGGAATGAGATGCCCAATAGAGTCCTGCATTGGGTGCCTATACTCGCATCCATCAATATACCCAAACATAACCTATGGGTACGTCCATGGTCTGGTGGGTGGGTATGGATGGGTACTTAATATTGAGGGATAAATTGATTTATATTTTTAATCACCGTATATTTATATTATTGAAATACTCACTATGTAATGTGTAACACTTAACCACGCTGCGACTACGGTAAATTCTAATATGCGTCCTGAAAGTTTGCAATTAAGGCAAAGGGCAACAAGCCTCAGGGCCATTAATATGTCGTAGATTGCGTTCAAAAAGTGTGGAAAGTGGGTGGGTATAGGTGGTGTGGCATCCCAAAAGTTACCATGGGTGGGCATGGGTGGACGAAGCCGTCCAAGTAAAGTATGGGTACTCAACCAGGACCCTATATAGGACTTTGATGCCCAATAGTACATTTAAGAGGGAGGGTGGTTTGTGCTCTTTGTGTGCATAATGGTGCACTCATTTAAGAAGTTGGGAGAAGGATGAAGCTGGTAGAGATGAAAGAAGGAGGAGGTAATAGTTAAAGCAACATTTTTGGATTTGATCTCAGGCCCAAAATAATTATTGAACCCATAATATAATCGCTTTGCCTTTTTTTTTTTATTTATTGGTCTTTTGAAAGTCTCTTGATTAATGCACGGCTTATGCTTGAGATGTTTGTCAAAGCATTAGAGATTGTGAATAGGATGACGATTGCAGAATATGTTATGTCACATTGTGGGATAATGGATAGGTGGTTATTTTGACCTAGGTTGGTGGGGTTGTTTCGATAAATCGTCTTAAGTTAGGTTTTGTTTGGGACGACTTTCTTACTGCTTCAGCCATCCCAGATGAAGCTTTAGTTGCCTGGAGTAATATATATCCATGCATTTGGATTATTTGGCCGGATGAGTGCTGTCAATTGAACCATGCTCTAATGGATTCTAATTTTTGGGATGAGAAACTATAGCTTGGAGCTTAGTAAGTGGTAGATTTTGGATTTGTTCACTCAACAAAATTATATTAAAAACCAGCTGTTTTGGGAAGGAGAGATCATTCTGTGCAAAGACCGAATGGTGAGAATCGTCTGCATTTGCTGCTATTTAGATACATTTTTATTGCACTTTTTGCAAATACTCAATAAAAGGACAGCAAAAGTGCATTATATGAATTCACTTTTGCTGCCCTTTTTGCTAAGTATTTGTAAAAGGGCAGCAAATATTCAATTTGTAGGATATTTGTTACGCTTTAGCTGCCCTTTTGTCACGGTTTTGTAAATACACAGTAAAAATGGAATTATGAATGCATATTTGTTATACTTTTGCTATGTATTTGCAAAAGCACAGTAAAAGGACAGCAAAATTCGAACGGTTCTCGCGGTCCGGTCTTCACACAGAATAATTTTTTGAAGAACCCGTGAAAATGATGCTCTTTGGGGGAGTTTTGCAGTGGCTCGATGTTTTTCAATCTTAGGAGTGATATTGGTGTTATGAGAAGTGCGCTGAATGGATCCAATTGAACCATTTGTGAGTTCTTTTAATGCTGGCCCCTCATTTGTGGGAGAAATTATTATGTGAGGGCTAAGCTAGGTTCATATTCTAATGAAAATATGATGTGTAGACTAGTGTATTACTAGATATTACTATGTATTGATATGTATTAGTTGTGTATTGTCGAGTATTAAATAGTATACAATAATATACATGTAATATACACCAATATACATCAATACAAAGTGTATTGCTGTCGAGATAGGGTGTGAATTTTAGTAGGGGAGAAGAGTAATATAAAGTGAGAGTCTCTGAGCTAGTTTACTTGGGTTGATGAGATAGGGTGTCCAACCACTCGCCTACATACTCAATCTCAAGGAGTTGGATATAGAAGAAGGAGAATAATAAGAAAAAATAGAAGAAGAATTTAATAGCTAAAGCTACCTCTGAGACTTGATCCTAGAGCCTAGAATTTGAACCCTTAATACAAGCACTCTACATACCTTTTATAGGCCTCTTAAGCACCCATAATCAATGCATTGCCAATGCTTGATGTGTTTACCAAGTGATATAGATCGTGGAGAGAATGATAGCTGTTGACCTCGATAACTCCATCTGCTCTTCCATCGGCCTGCTTGTGTCGATTGTAAAGGCCTACGACCACTTTGTCCTACGGGATAGTGTGATCGTATCCTTTGCATTCGAACCACACGAGCGGAACCCTTTCGGAGACCCACAATAGCTATGTAATATGACCTATCACATCATGAGATAATGGATATGTGATAGTCATGGCAAGCTATTTAGGGGTTGGTTGGCTATTGTGACACCTATCCTAGTTAATTAGACTTGGACAATTGGAGTGGTGCTGACTCTGGTAGATGAATGTTGGTTGAGAATGTCAGCTAGAGATTATTCTGTGCGGACGTTGAACACAATTTACTATATGGAGATCAACCAGAATGAGCCACATCAGCGGTACCGAGCAGTACATAATAGGGGGTAACGTGGCGCATTCTAGTTGGTCTCCGAACGGCGTTCGACATCTGTACAGAATAATTTCATCAACTTTAAGCCAAGGTTGGGAACTCGATAATGTGGTTATGAATGGGTTGATTATATTGGATCTAATCCGTTCAGTGAGGTGATTAATCATCTAAGGAATCTAGCTAATGAGCTTTAAGTGGGATTTCATGTCCAAGGATTTTGATTAGGTCAAGCAGACCAAACCATCTAGCCACAGAGATGGTCTTGATTGAGTACAAAAAATGAGGTGCTCCTAACTAAAACAATATATCAAATTAATTTCAAATTTTAAATTTAAAAGTCTAAGTTGAAAATGTGATATATAACCTTAATTATTTTCTACGCTCTTGATTAAAATAAGGAATATCTATCTTATTGTAATTTGATTTCCTCTCAAATTTAAATCTTTCTTCCTTCCCTTACTTCCACACATGAAAGAGTTGATTGGTTGAATAATATCAACTCCATAATATCATATTATTTTGAAGGGGAATTTTCAGACATTTGAAATATTATTATGTATTGTTATATGTAACATTTAAAATTTGGGGGATTTACATACATACCACTTTATTTTGTGTTATTTATATATATAACACCTAAAACTTTAATATTACATTTCTACCACTCATATAAAATTTTAACGCCAAATATATCACTTACATATTTCATTCTTACCACCCATACCACCCTATAAACTTTAATATTTCCTTCCATGCACCCATGTTTGCTTTATGGGTGGTAGGAATGTAATATTAAAATTTTAGGTGTTAGATATGTAAATAGCATGAAATAAAGTGGTATCTATGTAAAACCCCCTTAAATTTTATACTTATATATATAACATCTAAAATTTTAAATCCCATAAAAATATCACTAATATATATTTTGATATGATTACAAGTTTAAAACATTAAATTATAATATATTTTAATAAAAAATTTGGTATTAGATACAGAAATACACACATTTTCTATGGCATGTATGTAAATCCCCCTATCATCAAATATTGGCACTTGATTTGATGACATGTTTACAAAATAATTTCTTAAATCACACATAGTTATTTTATTAGCATAGTGATATTAGGAAACTTAATGAGTAAAATAAAATGCATAAAAATAAGGATAAAAATTTATCATTGATATTTTTAGTAAATATATATTATCAAAGAAGATAATATGAAAATAAAAATGGTTAAATAAAACTATTATCTAAACAATTCTATATTTCAATTGATTATTTTGTTAGTGCTATTTGGCTACAAGATTTAGCTATAATTTATGTTCAATTTTATTAAGTATTATTAGGCATTACTATGTATATAGTACTAAAAAATTTTCAATTTATGTATATAACACGTAAACTTTATTATTTACTCGCACAACACTTAAATTTTTTTATAACAAAAATACCATTCAACTACAAATGAGAATTATATTCCACCCCCCGCACATGTTTCATCGTTGAGTAGGGCTCTTCGATCAAGACAAAGCTCGCTTAATTTATCTAAATATTTTTTTTTGATTTGTTGGTTGACAGTTTTGACTATCAACTAAAAGGTCTAGTTTATGTATGTGATGCCTGTGAGTCTATTTTAATTTATATAAATTTCTAAAATAAATAAATATATACTGAACAGAATACTCCCTCTCATTTGAAACCCCGCGCTCCCCTCCTTCGGCGCTTGCTGAGCTTATTGCCCTAGGGCTTCTCCGAGCTCCTATGGCGGACACCAATTCGAGCCTTTCTCCTTCTCCTGACACTCGTTCTTCTGCATCGCCGGTACGCTCCTCGAAATCTAGCTTAGATCTCCTCGACAGGTTTCTGTACTTTTGAGCTCGTGCCATTGTCATTACCAAGTTTCTACATCCGCTTGTGGTTATTGACTTCGATTCGATATTTTCCTTTGCTTCCAGAAGAGGGATGATCTACGCCCTATGGGAATAAAGATTGCGGTGAGATGGAAATTTTCCATATTCATCTTGCTATATTCATTATAATTTCGTGGAGGATTTTCCTCAGTCATTTGCTCATCTTTAGTTCATGGTAGGAACTAAATGAATCGCAGTCAGAGTTGTTGAATAGGCTGCAAGGTTTGAAACAGGTAAGTTCTCGGGACATTCCTCTAACCGCTACTTCTCTTTGTTCCCCAGCTGTTTTGATATGGTTATTTCATGCGAAAATTTATATATTTTTTATTTTACTGATTTTCTTTGTTGAAGGATTTGCAAGACTGGAAATCTAAATTGGACACTCAAGTCAAGACATATAAGGAAGTTAGTATTCTCTGGTTTCCTAGATGCAATCCGAATATTGTTAATATTATGCTTGGCGTAAAGATCAAACTTGATCTTTTGTAAGGCGTTTATCGGAAGATCTTTCCTGTTTTGTACATGCTTCGCACAGTTGGATCTCTTGGCTGTAGAAATAAGCTCACCAGTAGAAATTCCCCTTTTTTTGGCTATTTCTAGATCTCCCTTTACAATTTTGGAAAAGTACATCTGAATCTGTTCTTTTTAATGTGGTCCTTTTATAGCATTTATTTTCCGCATTCTGCGAGCTTTATGATTAATAATGCTGTTGAAACACAAATGAACCTGTATAATAACAAACAACTCTTGAAACTATAGCTATTTTACATTGTATTTTAACTCAGATGTTGATATGAACCTTCCTGTAGAAATAGCAAGAAGTGGGGAAGAATAAGATAAGCGGACAACTCTAGCTTGCCCAAGCTCCAAGAAGAACAAAGGGAAAAGAACAAGAACATAGAAGGGAGAGATAGAGACCATCTTCTCTAATTCCTCCTTAATAGGAGTATTTATAGAATACATGAGCTACTAATTCACTTCTAACTAAGTTCTTGCTACGTTACCATTCTTATTAGCCTAATACAGGAATTAATCATCCTCATGTACGTTTGTTAGTAGTATTTGTAAACTTTTTGGAATATACAAGAAGCTACACATGCATACATTTACCAGATTGAGAAGGTGACTTGTCAAATTTTTATAACTTTAACGTGCTTGTAATTTTGTTTATTGACCTTTTTGGGCATTTCAAATGTTCAATTTACCATATACTAATCAAATTGTATTGGGAATTTAGTAGGGGCTTTTCATAATATTATGATGTTAATTTTTTTTGCAAGTCTCGATTGAGTGATATTGCACACTAACCTATAGTTCATGAAAGAGGGTCTTTGGAATCTCTAACTTTTTTAGGGGTTGTTTTGTTTGAAATAAAATGGGTGTGCCATATTCCAAATGCAAGGCTTTTTGAGAATATTGATGTTTGGTTTGGAGTAAAACAAATGCAGTGTAAAATCTTGATGCATTTGAATTCATCCTCTTGTTCAATGTTGGTGTATTTGGAATTCCTCCGATTCGGGGGATTTCAAATACGTTATAAATTTATCACCATTGTCATTGCCCGCAGCTAGCTGCTGCCACTGTCAGCAACTACCTATCTTCGGCTGCTGTCTCCATCACTCGCCTCTGGCCATTGTCGCCACCGCACCCGGTGCCCATTGCCATCCACCAATGTAGGAGTCGCCATCGGCACAACTTCAAAGCATTTCAAATACATTTTATTCCTTTTAGATTGCATTCCTTTTACATTGTATTCCTTTTTTAGCTAACCAAATAGCTCCTTAGTGAAATTTGCCTTTGAATTGAAAATAGTAAATCATTCTTGAGAAAATTGTTCTCAAACTTGATGGTTAGTAAATAGTTTTCATCATCTTTTAATTATCACCTAAACATTTTGGTGTTTTTGGCTGATGGAATACTTTTTATTTTTCAATTCGTGTTTCTCAATAACACTTGACAATCCTAGTTTTGAATATACTATAATTAGTCTCTGATTTTCTTGAGTCGGCTCTGTTTTTCAACATGCTTTATTTTTTGAGGTTGAACTTTCGAGCACTTTTTTTGTGGTTGTATTGGCGTCATCATCCTTGTATGAACTGATCACACTTTAGTGTGTGAAATATGGCTTTGGCATCAAAGAGGAGGATTGGAAAATCATGAAGAAATATACAAGTTTCTTGAAGCAACATCACCCTATTTTTACATAAAACTAGATCAACACAATGGAACTTATGGGTATTGTAGCCTTATTTATGATAACATAACCCCCTACGAATCATGCTATTCTCTTTTATTGGTTTTCGTTTGAGACTTCTATGGCATTAATAAATTAGGTTTTTCTTTTCAAGTGGACTTTGTGTAAACTTTGTCCTAAAATCTCTGTTTGTTAAAATATAGAACCTCATAAATGCTAGCAGTAAGTTTCATGGTAAAATAACTTCTACTAACCCTTGTTTCTTTCTTTTTTTTTTGTTCATATGTTCGTTATATAACTCTTAAAATCATGTGCTGGTGGTACTAGTTTTAATTGGAAACACATGATAATACCGATTTTATCCTAGGCAATTGCTGCATGTTGTCATATGATTATCTTTCTGACCAGGCTTTTCCATAATAGGAAATGTAGCTCATTACGACTTGCATAGTTATATATTTATGGATTTTCAATTTTTATAAATGTTATGCTTATCAGCTAAGTTTTCTCTAATTATAACTTTAACTAGAGATTGGATTAGGTAGTTTCATGAATATGGATGTAAAAGATGTGCTAAGCTGCTCTTATTATTGCTTCCTATTACAACGGCTGGAAATGAAACTCTTAAATGTGTACTTTTGAGAATTTAGGTGCTTGATTCGTTCGCAAGAGACATTGCAGGTCTGGTGAACTATGATGTTTTTTGTTATATCTTTATCCGATGTAGCCAAGAGACCTCAAGCTCTTGTTCTGTAAGTAAGATTTCAACAAGAAGTCATGCAAGGCTGGCAAGAGGACAAAGAATAAGAAATTGAGTTTGTGAATTTGTTTTGATGGATATTTACTTACTATATTTTTTAAATTTACTTTTTCATACTATTGTTTAGTTCTAAGTTTGTGATTTATTTTCTTTGTGAATTATATGAGTTATCCACTTGATTGCAAAGTGACGGTGTTTGAATCTGCTTCACATCCTCAATTTTTTGGGCTTTTTGTGATCTAGTGTGAGTTGCTATGGTTCAAAGTATTGCATGCTTTGGGCAGCTTTTGGTCAAGTATCTATTCCCATGGGCTCAATCCAGTCATACGTAGATATGTGAGGATGAAAAATCATTTTGGTACGTAATGGATTCGTAGGAATTATAGTGAAATTATGGCTTTATCCAAAATTATTTTAGGGATTTTTTTTTTTTCAAAAAACCTTTGAAACCTCATTTTTATCTCTCTCGCCACCCCCTTAGCGGTATTTTGTTCCTCCCACACCTTTTGTTAACAAGGATTAGGCACAGAATTTTGTAGTTAAATAGCATTCCAATCATCATACCATTTGTGTAATACTTTTTTTTAGCATAATGGATGATGAATATTGGATGATGAAAATATTCATTTTTATTCTCGTTCAAGGCCTCACAATAAGTAATGATGTGTGCATTGATTTATTTTATTATTTTTATAACTAAGGACATTAAAGTGATGATGGTTGAGATAGGATTGTATATTATTTCATAACTTTAGGTTAGTTTAAACTTAACCCAATTTAGATTAATTTTAAGTGATGTTTTGATTTGGAGAAATAAAGCATTGCAGCTGTTTTAAGTGGTTTGTTGTAGTTTTTGAATTATTTTTTTAGTGTGTTTGTGGCATGTTGCTGGAGTTTCTGAAGCGGTTTAACAATTGATACCTTTCTTTGAACGGTGAAATACTAAAGAAAATGCATCTATTATATTAGAGATGGTATTTTTTTAAGTTATATGCTCTTGGTTTCGTTTTGTTGTGGCAGTATTTTATCCAAGGGTATGCATTATTGCGAATTTTTTTGCCTGGTTGTTCCTGCGACTAGTGCATGAATTTTGTTCTTATTTATATGGTTGAATGTGTTAAAATTTGAGATTGTTTTGTTACTTGGAGGGCTGTTTCTGGTGGTTTCTGCTGATATGATAAAAAGTTTGGGTATAAAATCAAAAGCTGAATTAATGGTTATCTTATTGGTGATAAATTTAAATTAGTTGATTCCATATTTAAAAGTAGCACATAAATAGTTTTTCATAATTATGATCTTTGGGTCGAATAAAATTCTCTTTCTAGTTTTAATCTTGGAAGTTATGTATGTGACTCTTTTGAATACCATAGACGAACAACTAATTGATTGTAGGAAATTATCTCCTCGTGTTTATGTGATGCCTGATTTTTCTAGTTTTAGTATTTTCATTCCTTATTATTTTTCATCTATCTAATTTGATAGTGACTTGTTTAATATTCTTGAATTTGATCAAATTTGACACATGGAGTTCCATTTGTAGAAATTAAATTTAATTGCTCGTCGATTTTTATATATTTTAAAATCATCATAGAATTTCTTCAATTGTTTTGATAATTTCATCATCATTTGGGTTTTAATTTAGTATTGCTTTGCTACATTTAAAGAAAGGGGTTGTTTGGCGGTTGGAAAAAGAATGCAGTGTAAAAAGAATGCATTGTATTTGAAATGCTTTGAAATTGTTTAGATAAGTGTAAAATAAATGCATGTATATTTTTAATTGTTTGGCTTGAAGTAAAATAATTATAATGTAAAGTTCAATGATGGTGATGGTTGGTGGCCATTAGTGGCGGTGGTGGTTGCTGGCGGCGAAGGCTTACAGTGATGGCGGTGGTGGTAGGTGGTAGCGATGAAGGTGGTCATGTTTGTCGGCGATGAATTAATGGTGTATTTAAAAATCGTCCAAATGATGAAATTCCAAATACACCAAATTAGATGGTGGATTCAAAATACACTAAAATTTTACACCGCATTTGTTGTACTTTAAACCAAATGTCAATTTTCTCAAAGCCTCTGCATTTGGAATATTTTACATCAATTTTACTTCAAACCAATAGACCCAAAGTAAGCATTTAAATTATTTGGTGGATTATGAATCACTAATTTTTTATCTCCTTGCATATACAACACTATACATCATTTGTAGTAAGAAACCTTAATCCTAAGTCATTTTGCATTAGATTGTTATCAAAGATTTAAGTTCATTGCAAAATGTTTCATAGAAACAAGACTAATTATTAGGAAAACTTAACAAATTATAAAAGAGATGATTAAAAACTAATTGGTTGAATTTTTTAACAAATAACATTAACATGATCAAAGAATGAGTGGATATATTAGAAACTAATCAGGTTCCTGTACATTAAGGGCTTCAAAAGTTCTGGCCCCAATCTCTTGTTTGGAGGGAGAGTTTTAAGAGTGTTGTGTGGTCAAATTTTTAGTAGGCAGATTATGTTTAAGATAAGACACTATCTAAAGATTTCACCATAATTTTAGGAGAATTTTATGGTTTGGTTTCAGGTTTTCCATTAGTGTAACTGTTTAAGCTCTGTGGTTCAAAATTATTGTTCTATATTTAAAGTTGATTGTGGGGGAAATGATGTTCTCGATCAAGATCTTATATTTTCATCATCCTAGGTTATCGTGATCTCTAGTCTATATACTCAAGGAAATAATCGACACAACCTGGCTGAAGTGTCCTTATGGGTAGCTATGATTTGCTTTATCCAATTAAACCTTACAAACTTGGGGTGAGTGTTTGTTTAATGAAATAAATTTTAAGTCTGTCTTAGTTAAATTAGAGTTTTATATCCTATCAAGTATACCGTATGATTCATTACTCAAATATGTCTTAATTATTGGGGAATATATGGGCTTTGACTATGATCGTAATTTAATGGTGCTATTTTGCTTCTAAACCATTCAGTTAGAGAGTCTTAATCATAACTGTTTATCTTTGGTGTCATTTGGCAGTAAATTCACCAGTTAGAGGACATGTGTGACATCCTTAATTGTTGGAGATTTTTTGAAACTCAATCGTATTGATATGCTCAATAAGAAATTTACCCTTTGTGAACTGCGGCTATTCTAAAATTTATCACCCTAGATAAATGCTTATGGAGGTTGGATGGATTTTACTTTAAATTTTTTGGATGATAGATTCATTTGAATATTATTTTTTATTATATTTCTTTTTTTAAATAAAATTAAAACTCATAATAATATGTTCTGAGATTTTGGGACATTTATATATATGAAGTTTCCTTTGTTTAAGATTCACTATTAACAAAGACATCATCAAAACGACATTGAAATCACTTGAAGTATTTATATTTGCAACTTGAAATTTTGATTTTGAAAAGGGATTCTTCCGTTGGGATTTTTTCAACACGGTTATTATCAGGGTATTTGAATAATTTTATTTTATTATTTCAACCTTCTCTGCGCACTTGCTTATAAAGAATTGGGTTTGATATGAGTTTATTTCATTTTTTTTGTTCATGCATCATTCTCAAACAATAAGTTTGGATGTTAAGTCTATTTATTGGAGCTTGTGCTTATCAATTTGATCTTTTAGGGACTTGAACATTGTTTAGATAATTTTTTCTTTATTTTAATTAATTAATTTGAAAAAGTGGATTTTTAGTTCAGTTTGTTGTAGCCCAGTGCAACACTATCATATATATATATATATATATTCTTAATTTTTCCTTCCTTTTAAATGGCGTGCACTTTTTGATGCATTTAAACAATGCACTTATACAATTTTTTATATATTTATATAGTATACTTGAGATCTATCTATATGCTTGGGCGCTTTTTGGCATGCCTATGTGATGCACTTGAACGTTTCTCAATGCATTTGCATAGCGTATTCACATGCTCGTTATATACCTTATTTACTGCATTTCTTTAAAAATAGTGGTGCACTTTTCTTAGCTATTGCACACTCTTTGAGATAGTGGCATGCTTCTCGAGGCAATGATATACTTCCTGAGGCAATGACATGCTTCTCGAGGAAATGATACGCTTCTCGAGGTGGTGCATTTGAATTCAAAATAATATTTGATGTGTGTGAGATCTTAAAAATTTTTATATTTAATTGCTTGTAGTGGCATTATCGTGAAAATGCATGTCGATATACTACACATTATAAATTATAATAGAAAATTCTAACTCTTAATCCTGCATCTATTATGCTTTCATTGTGCATTCTTGTTTGTATAGTTGTTGGTGATTTATTGTGGTAAGGGTGCTGCATATTTTGCAATTATATGCGTTTTATTCTGGGTAAACCAGTCATTTAATTAGTGTTTAAGATTACTTATGGTTGTATAGACTTCTATACAATTCATTTAAATTCAAGTTATTGTTGATACAGGAAGCTTTGTATTTATTATGGTCACATTTGTTTGATAGTTCTTCACCATGCAGGAACTGATCGAGCTTAAGAAGGTACTAAATACTGATCTGGATCAACTGAAATCAGTTAAGTTCTCTGAATCCTGTAATTTAGTTATTGCAAACATATAGTGCCTAACCTTATTCACTATTTTTCATACCAGGACTTCCAAGAACTGAGAACCACTTTACAGCAGCAGCAAGATGACATATCTGATAGCTTAAGAAACTTGGGGGTAGTTTTTCTTCTTCTGTTGAAAACTTTGATCCCTGTTATATGCTCTAATTGCACGACATTTCATGTTCAATTTAACATTTGTCTAGCATACCTTGCTTAAAGTTCAAAATGCCTAACTCGTTGAAGTAGTATGCCTCGCGTGTTATCATGCTTAAGGTGATATAGAGGGGTGCGTTGAAGAGTTGGATTCGTGATGAGAAAACAATGAGATAGAAAGAAGACAGAAGTAAAAAAAAAAGATGAATGATTACCTACAGAGTAGGGAGGTGAGTAGAGACGAAGTAACAAAGAAGAAACTCTTAAGGGGTTGCCTGGCTGCAAGTATAATTTAAATAGGATTTAATAAATCTTGTAAATTCAGATTTACTAAATCTTGATGTTGTTAACTCCTAAAAACTATTTGGCACGATATAGGCTAAATCTTGTTAAACTTTGATGAATTATTTTTATTTTATTTTATTTTTAGATTTAAGTTTTTTAACTCCAATAAGATTTTAATAATTCAAAATTTCTTGTTAATATTTATAGTTGATTGATGTTAATTATTAAGATTAATTTATTTTGTAATTTAATGATAGGAAACACTTGGATTTCCAAGAGTTTCTCACCAAAACCAACTAGATCCAAGATGAAAACTGCTGTCCACAACAGTAAAACAGCCAAAAACAGTAGAAAACAGGGAAAATCTGAGAGAAAAATGAAGAAACAACTTGTATTTTACTAATAAATGCAAGGAAAATAGCAAAGATACAAGGATCCTCTATTCGAGAGGAGGATCGCACTCTCCCAATCTCTAGATCTCGATCTAGAGCCCTCACTATCCAAGAAGAACAAAGAAATTCTCACAAAACATGACATAACCCTAATTCCTCTCTTTCTCCCTACTTAATGCATTCTAATTCAAAACAAAAGCAAAAGGACATCTCTACCCTCCCTTCTCCCTCCAAAAA